ACAGACAACGGGCTTCCCCGTTACAGAATGCTCTATGCAACTTAGGTTTTGTTTTGTGTTTTTTTAAAAATGTATTTCCTATTGATTTCCGAGAGGGAGAGAGAGAGAGAAACATCGATTGGCCGCCTCCTGCACGCCCCGCACTGGGGATCGAGTGCCCTTGACGGGAATCGAACCCGGGACCCTCCAGTCTGCAGGCCCACGCTCCACCCACTGAGCCAAACCAGCTAGGGCTCAACTTAGGTTTTAAGTGAGACGATGGGGATTGCTGAGGCTGCGGCTGGGACTCGAAACAGGAAAATTCCTGGCAACGCTGCAAATAAGAGTCCAGGCCTCAGCCCTGGGAACCCCAGTCCAGGCAGCAAGCTGGGTCCCCGTTACTCACCCTAGAGGACCCCCCCCACACACACACACACCCCGCCCTGTTTGTGTCCCACCAGAGTTGCCAGATTATGTAACCAGACAAGGGGACTGGGCTGCCTGTCACTACTTGAGCCAATTAAGCAGGTGTGACAGGGGCGAATCATATGAACATCTATTCCAGTCCTGCCCGCAGCATGGAGAGCAGCAGGGCACCCACAAACAGCTGCTCTGCCCCCACCGTAAGCCTGCTGCTTATACTGGGTAGAAGGACAGAGATTACATGGGGAAGTAGCCAAAGGGGCAGTTGATAGGTAATGGGGGCTGGAGATTTGCAAAGGCCTGTGGATATGCAAAGGGCTGGGAGTCTTGAAAGGGCTAGTGATTCTGGTTCCTGCAAGAAGGTTGCTAATCCTTCCAGGATAATAGGCAGCTCCCTGTGGGGGAGGATGGGCTGCATCTCGAGGTGAGCTCCCAGGTCCCACGTGCAACTCCCAGCAGGTGAGCATGTGCCTGCCTTAACAAAGTCATGGTTAACAGAGCATGACCCACATTTCTTGTAGTTGGTCCCCAATATTCTATTTCTGCCCCTATCAGTTCACCCACTAACCCAGGCACTAGTGCAGTGGGTCCTAACAGGTGCACACCAGCAAGTCCATGAGGGCTTAGTTCTCCTGACACTCACCCTGCTGGCAGCATATGCCCCAGCTGGCGTGGCTCAGTGGTTGAGCCACAGTTTGATTCTTGGTCAGAGCACATGCCTGGGTTTGGGGCTCCATCCCCAGTAAGGGGGCGTGCAGAGGGCAGACAATCCATGTTTCTATCCCTCTTCCTTTCTAAAAATCAATAAAAACATACTTTAAAAAAATACGTGCAACCCTGACAAGAGAATTGGCCTGATAATAAGCACGCCACGCAAGGATGCAGGTACCAATCGCGTGTTCAGTATTTGCACAGATGAATCTCCTTCTTAGATGTTCAGTGAAATAGAACTATGAGGTCTCAGGTCTTCTCCCTCCACAGAGGCGTCTCCTGGGAGGGAGGTTGCACACACTGTTTTGTAAGCCGTGCGCCAGGGCTGAGTTGTAAAACACGGACCTCAAAGACAGTACAGTGGGGCCTTGACTTATGAGTTTAATTCGTTCCAAGACGGAGCTCGTTAAGGAGCTCGTTAACTCAAATTACTCTATCAACTCAATGCAAAAAATCAGCCAAGAGACAGCTGGTATCTCAAAAAACTCGTTAGTCAGGACACTCGTAAGTCAAGGCCCCACTGTATAAGGAAAGAACATGACATCTCAGTGATTTTCATACTGGTTTTATGGTGAAGACCAGGTGGGCCTGGATGTCCTGGGGAGGAGAGGGCAGGCCGCTGTCCAGGAGCTCCCAGAGCTGAGGCCAGAGCCATGGGAAGGCAGGACCGGCCTGCGGCCACACCCTCCGGCCCTGCCTCTTCCCCTGGGCCCGTGCTGGACTCGGGGTTAGACCAGGGGTGGGGAATGCTATTTGTTCTGCTCCTGCCACAGCATTAGGGGTGAGTTTATGAAGTATTTAACCCAACACAGCAGGCTGATATTTAAGTTGGTGATTTTGTATGACCTGAGAATGATGTTAAAAATAGCCAAATAGCCGAACCGGTTTGGCTCAGTGGATAGAGCGTCGGCCTGCAGACTCAAGGGTCCCAGGTTCGATTCCGGTCAAGGGCATGTACCTTGGTTGCGGGCACACCCCCACCGGGGGGTGTGCAGGAGGCAGCTGATCGATGTTTCTCTCTCATCGATGTTTCTAACTCTCTATCCCTCTCCCTTCTTCTCTCTTAAAAATCAATAAAATATATTTTTTTTAAAAAAAGAAAAAGAAATAGCTAAACAGCCGTTGGCAGGAGAAAGGTTCCCACCCCTGGTGTGGGAGGTCAGGGTGGCTCGTCTTGTCCTGGGCAGCAGGAGGCTTGGGTGCGGGGCTCCTGGGCTGGCCTGGGTTCCCGTGAGTCCTCACTGCAGACCTTGATGTCCTGGGTCAGAGGGGCTGTCCCCAAAGAGAGCCTTCCTGCCAGAAACCCCACACATTACCTGGTTCTCAATGACAGACACTTCCTTTCCAGGTGCGACTGTCTCCCACCCACTCGCCCGGCGGGGCACCTGATGAAGCCCCGAGCCCGGCCTGACCCTGTCCGACTGGCATCCGGCATCCGGGCACCAGACGTGCATGGAGCATCTCCGGTGCTGGACTGGGCGGCGGGCAGGATGGACAGCACAGCGCCGCCCTCCCAGAGCCGTGTTCCAGAAAAGGGCAAGCCCGACAAAGCCTGCAAAGCAGTAAGAGGATTGCAGTTTCTATAGCTACCGCGAGGCCAGTGAAATGAGGCAAGTGGGAGAGCTGGTGGGTTACTGACACGGCGGTGGCGGTGGCAGGAGGAAGGTGCCACCCAAGTTGTGAGAGGAAGTGGCCATGGGAACACCCCGGGGGCGTGTTCTAGGAAGAAGGAACAGGGAGTTCGAAGGCCCCCGCACGGGCAGGGGCTTGGCACCATCAAGGGATGGAAAGCAGGGCTGTGGCATCATGAATGCAGTGCGGTGGGGGAGGGGGAGGGGGAGGGGGAGGGGGAGCAGGGACAGATGAGGAAAGGTCTACAGGTGATGGAGTGGAGTCGAAGTGCATCATGGTTGCCTTAGTGGCCACTTCAGGGTGGTCCTTCTTTGAGGTGAGAAGAGCCAGGATGCCCCAGGATGGAAGAAGACCTGTTTCTACACAAGAAAGACAAGAACTCTTGTCCTCTGGGGGCGACAGGCTCACAGTGGGACGCAGGCAAGAAACCAGCAAGGAATTAGAATGCACAATATGCCAGGAGGCAGCCAGTAAATGATTCTCATCATTGATGTTTCTGTCTTCCTCTCCTCCTCTGAAATCGATAAAAAAAAAAAAAGGGACGGTCATCCAAATCTAAGTAGTGACCATCGAATGGCGATTCTGGAGGATCCCCTGGAATTGCTCAGAGCAAGCATGTCAGCTGTGGCCCACAACGAATATTTTGGGGACCCAGCCAATATATCAGTATGCAAGAAACGTCTTAATAAAAATTTCATAACTTAATTTTTACAATACCCTGTTATACATAATTATTAATAACAAACTACAACATTCGCTAATGACTGATTGCTATAATCGTGTTGCATTCATTTCCCTTACGCTCAGGCGCACCATTTCCCTCCACTAACACCAGCAGCGAATATTTCAGCAGCCGATGGCCACGTCATTAGTCTTGGACTGACTTGTTTGGTGTGCGCAACAGGAAATATTTCGCTCTCGGAAAACAAGAAAAATAGGTTTATTTGCATTACGCTTATTAATTTGTGAAGTTATCCAGTGTCTGGTAAGTGAATGTTTAAGAAAAAATGTTAATTTTTATTAAAATGTTCCATTATTTTATGTTAACAGTCATTCACTCATTTCAGCCCTTTGTATTCAGCATGTCTCTATCGGAATAAACCTACGTTTCAAAGAAAACTGAAGCTTTTGTTTTTTTGCGGCCACATCCACTTGCACCTTGTTTATTTGGCCCGTGTTGGCCTGTGAGTGTGACAGGCTTGGCTTGAGACTTCCGGCTGTTGGTGAGGACGGAAGAGGCTGCAGAATGAGTCCTGATGGTGCCAGGACGTCGTCCGAGGGATTTATCATGAACCAGGCCGGCTGTTCACAGGCGGGAGAGGATCCCCCCACGCTGAGGCAGATGCGCAGGCAGTTTCCAGAAGCTTCCCATGGCTCTTGCAGCTCCGCACACAGCCCTGCTGTGAGAATGTCCCGGGGCTCAGTGATGCGTGCAGCCTCATGTGAGGCGTCGCCCCCTGGGCAGGGCCAGGCGGGCTTGCCTGTCAGACCTGCTCGCCTGCTGCTGTTCAGCCCAGACCGCCCCAGCGTCCCTTCTGCAGGACCAGGAAGCGCAGCATGGAGCCGGTCCCGCGGAGAGCAGGTCAGCACTGGGGAGGGCGGGCAGGCCCGAAGGGGGGGTCTGAGAGCTGTCCTGGGGGGGGTCTCCCTCCCGAGGGGGGTGGAGCCTGGTGTGGGGCCGTTGGGTTTGGTTAAGTGCATGGCGCTCTCTGGCTCAGCTCCACCTTCAAGGAGGGCAGTGTGGGTCGGGAGGGATGAGGATGCTCTGTTTTGGACTCTGATGTCCGCATTGGTGCCCAGGAGGAAAGGAGAGGAAGAAGGGAGGTTTCTGGGTTTGGGTGTCAGGCGAGGAGGACCAGCTGCCTCATTTGTGGCTCGTTTTGTGAGGCACAGGGAGAGACCGGGTCTGCTCCTTCAGCCCTTCCCGGCTCGGCTGGTTTCACATGTTGGTGATCCAGGATCTTTGAGTCAGACACGGTGGGAGGCGGCTGCACGCACACGTGCGCCATCTGGCTGTCATCTGGAACAGCGGTCGCCAACCTTGAGGACCTCATGGCCCAGTGGTCCGCAGACACCGGCTGGCGACCGCTGCTCTAGGAGGCATGAGGGCAGCCCTGATGCCTGTGCTGTGCGAGAGGCTTCCAGGGGTCCCAGGGAGCAGGGATGCAGGAATGAGCAGGAAGTAGCAGAGGGAAGGGGCAGCGGCAGGGGGCACTCAGCTTCCTGGGCAGAGCACCCCGGGGCAGAGGACCGAGCCTGGTGCCCTCCTGTGTGTCTGGGTCTCCTCTTCCCATGAGAACACCCGTCATAGAGGGCTTCAGGCTCGGCCTCATGACCTCATCTTAACCTGCTGCTACCTATTTCCTAAAAGGTCACACCCACAGGTGTTGGGGGTTAGGACAGTCAGGGTGCCTACCAGCCCCACCTGGGCCGAGAGGAAGAAGAAAGGGGAGGCTGGTACCCACAGGTCAGGACGGCTGGCCTAAGGGAGGCAGGGCCAGGCCAGGCCCCGGAGCGTCTCCCCACCGCCCTAGCCCGCATCCTGTCCAGGGGGCCACGGCAGTGGGAACAGTCGCCGGCAGCTCTGGGGCTTGAGCGGGGTCCGATCTATATGCTGCACAGCTCACCATGTTAGGAGCGCAGCGCAGGGGCTGCTAACAATCCAGCCACGTGCAGTGAGCACATCGGCCTTAGGACATTTCATCCTAAAAAGAAACCACATGTACTTCAGCCGCCCCAGCCCCAGCCCTCTCCTCAGAGGCCAGGAGCCAAAGTCGGGTCTGCAGGGCCAGCTCCCTCCAAGGGCCTCCTGCTCTGAGCTCCTGGTGCTGCCCGAAGCCCTCGGCATCCCCCATCCTCTGCCTGGGCTGTCACCTGGCCCCTCCCTGGTGTGTCTGGGTCTCTCCTCATCCCATGAGGACACCTGTCATGTAGGGCTTAAGGCTCGACCCAATGACAGCTGTCGCGACCTATTTCCAAAAGGCCACACTCACAGGTGTTGAGGGGTTAGGACTTCAACCTATCTTTTGGGGGGACACCACCGAACCCACAACACCCTGGTTCTTGAGCATCCATGGACTGTCCCCTGCAGAAATGGAATGCGCTGCCCAGGGGCAGCGGGACAGACCTACTCGAGGGCCTGCCCCCTCCCCCCATCCTCACCTCCCCTCGTCCCCTGTCCCGCAGGCCCTCCCTCCAGCAACGACCCTGAGGGGAGGGGTCAGTGGGGTCTGGCCAGAGGTAAGGCCCCCGCACACTGGCCACCTGGCACCTGCCCACCCTCCTGGCATCGGAGGCTACAGAGCCCCGTTCTCTTCCAGACCCCGGCTTCCCGGTGCAGCGGGCGCTCTGCGTACCCAGCAGAGCCAGTGGAAGGTCTGTGCCTTTGTTTCCTGGGTCAAAGTTTGCCTTTCCCCTCGCACTAGTCTCTGGGAGCTGAACTTTGAGTTTTGGAGCAAGTCATATGGCGTGAAGTCTCGTCAGATGCCCTGGGCACTGGTTTGGCAGGCTCTTCCTGCCCAGCCCTGCCCGCGGCCCGAATCCGCAGAGGAGCCTGAGCCTGCAGCCGGGAGGGGACACGGGCCCACTGCACGCCAGCAGCTCCTGCGTGGCCGGGTGTGCACGTCTCGGTGAGTGTGCGCTGTGGGCCGGGCCCCGTGGGAGGAGGGCTCTGCAGCGGCCATTCCCATTTTCCTTGGTTTACACGCTGACATGCTCTGCTGTTGGAGCACTCACTGCACACACCTCTCAGGAGGCATTCAGCTCCAGCAGGAAGCTTGTCATCCCGTGAACAGGACCAGATGACAGGGTTCTCGGGTCCAGGGCAAATACTCCCACCTGTGTGCCCCCTGTGCCCACCTGTCCCCCCTGTGCCACCTGTGTCCCCCCTGTGCCCCCCTGTACCCCCCCTGTACCACCGGGCCCCCCCTGTGCCAACCGGTGAACCCCGGTGCCAACTGTGTCCTCCTTGTGCACTGAAGGGGTCTGTAGTACCGAGGATGCAGCTGGTCACCCGGAACCTGATCCTAGAGCCAAATATAGTCTAATGGACGCTAAGTGCCTAACGGATGCTGCCGTATGCAGATACTAGTCACAAGTGAGACGCTGGGCACTCAGGGGAAGTTTTGTGAGCACAGCGAGCGCATTGTGTTTTTTCAAAACGTGATAGGG